AAGTAATTTTTAAAGAACAACATGTGAAATCTTTGATCCATCTACACAACTATTCGGGGTTTTTTAGCTTCTCTATTTAACACATGCACCATTTTGAAACAAAGATATACTAAATCAGTGATACAGGAGCCACCTGTGGCTCTTCTGGACACTGTTCCCCAATATGACACCCACCTCATGTTCCAAGAAAACAAGCATGACCTTTGCCCTGTAGGGCTTGTGGTTGGCAGGTGGTTCCTATGGTGAAACAGCTGCTACCACAAGGACTAAAGGGCAGCTAAGCTGCGAACCTCTCTGAGATGTGGGCTTTGTGCCAAAGATGGAAGTAAAGGCCCAATCTTTCCAATAGGCCCTCACCCTTCTTGGCAGCCTCTGCACTTTCATCCCATCACCCTGGCAGTTGCTGAGGAGAGCAAAGTGGCTGAAGGGAGAAGAAAGTACAACCGGGGTCATTTCCTGCAGGTGCGCACAGGAGCAGAGCTCCAGCAGTAAGGACCCCAGGAGGCGGGCACATGCAACAAGCCCCACCCCCTGCTCCCAGCAGCCCTCAGTCAGAGCAAGAAGCAGCCAAGTAAATTGCAGAGCCCCCTCCTGGTCCAAAACAGTCCAGTGGCACCTTTAAGACCAAGTTTCATTCAGGTACAAGCTCTCCCTCCTCTGCACGTTCCCCCGCCCAATAGACAGCAATCCAAAACCGTCCAGTGGAGCCTGAGCAGTGGGTGTTGCCTTCTGACACACTTCCAGTGATGTCAGGGTGTGTGGCATATGCAAATAAGTTATGCTAATGAGCTCCTGCATCTCTTTTTCTACAAAATGACCCCTGAGTACAACCATTACCACCAGCGTTATGACAAGCACCAAGGAAAAGTGCAAGATGGCCACAGCCTGCCACCCACAGCCTGGGGAACAACAAGCACGGCAAGGACAATCAATACTGTGAGCTGACTGCCAGCGGAGAACTTTGAATCATGGCTGCTACTGTCAAGAATCTCAACGATTACTGGCACTTTATTACGGTTTTAGAATGGTTTAGTCGTAGTTCATATTTTAATGTAACGTGTTTGTTTTATGTAAGCCGCCCTGAGCCGGCTACGGCCGGGAGGGCGGGGTAGAAATCCGAAATAAATAAAATAAAATAAACCGCGTGTAAGCAGGGTTAGTTTTCTCCACACCCAGCTTGCTCTCCTGCAGGCGCCTTGGTAATCTGTTGCCTGAGCTGCTGTTACTTCTGCTGAAGCGAGAATGAGAAGACTGAGAGGGAAACCCTTCCAGTCACTCCAAGTACTCAAAGGCTGACTCACGTTCAGCAGTGGTGGGGAGAGGCAACCCTACATCCTCAGAAGAAATCTGGTAATTTAAAAGATTATGGCTGTATAAGACGGACCTCTGGCATTTCCCCACTAACAGGCAGCTTTTCCCACCAAAAATTAGTTCCCAACCAGTGTCCCCTCTAAGCTGAGTTACTGTGAGCTAGCTCACAGCCTCTGGCTCACACCTTTTTGCCTTAGCTCAGGAAGGGTGGCTCCAGAGCAAATTCATTTATGCAGTAGCCAAATCGTTCGCTCACAACTTTAATGCCAGTAGCTCAGGAAGTAGAATTTTTGCTCACAAGACTCCACAGCTTAGAGGGAGTATTGGATGTAACATATTTCATCTTCTATGTTTGTGGTTATGGTTCATATGTATATACTGTATTTCAGAGTGAAGAGATTTTCCTTTTGGTCAAGGTTGAACCCCCCCATAATAATCAGGGTGCTATCTCCAGTGTATTGGACATGGTCAGTGCAGGAGTCTGTATCATATGGAGAATATTTTAATATACCTACAGCGTTCTTCAATTTTTTTGTTGCAAAATAGCAACTCGCCAGGCTTTTAGAACAGAGTTTAAGTTTCATTGAAAGAATGAAAGGTTTAGCTTATAGGGAGCATTGTTCCCAACTGGACTGAGCAGCCCCAAGTAGTATGGATTTTATTACTGTTTTAAAAGTCTGTCTGTTCCACCCCGTCACAAAGAACTAATCTGTCTTTTAGCCCAGCCCAGGAACTTGATGTGATAAGCAGGAGCCCCCTTGTTTTTCCCTTTCAAATGGCACTTGAGACGGTATAGTTTTCTGTAACCCCAAAAATACCTGGAATAGAAGCTGAGGTCCTATTCCCTCATTGGCTCACATTCTATGTTAGTTTTTTCCTAGTAGGACATTTACTCCTGTCAACAACTGGTCTGAAAGTTTTGGGAGTACAATCATTGGAGCCATATTGCACGGGGAGTTTAAAGGCATAGCCTTCATAAAGTGAAGGACCCAGCAATGCTATGTTGTAGCTTCCCAAAAGAGGGGAGAGCATGAGACTCTCAACAGGTGTGATTGTCAAAAATGTTGCTTGGATGGTTAGGCAGGTTTTAGTGACTCTGATGCATTTCCCCCTCTCTGGGAGTGGAATCTCCTCCTCAACTGGGTTTCAGTGGAGAGTCATTAGAATAGAAGGGTTGATGTGCAAGCTGTGGCTGAAAACATGGGTAACCCCCTGCCCCTGTAATAGGGGTGACATGCCAATGGCAAACCACCTCTGAACGACACTTGCCTTAAAAAAAACCCCACGGGGTCACCATAAGTCAGCTGGCAAAAAAATATGGTCTAAAGTAGGATTCAGATCTTTGTGGAGGTTGACTGGATGGGATCACACCTAAGGTTTTTGCTGTAAACTTGTTTTTTTCACATTTGCTCAAAGGACTTAGTTTTGGTACTACAGAGGTCAGTGCCCTCAAAGGAGAAGTCCTCTATCTGGACTTGTGTTTCATTGGGCAATGCAGTTGAGCATACCCAGGGATAGCACCTCAGGCAAACTGCAGTATCAATGTTTCAAGCAGAACAGTCTGCCACATGCTTGGCAGAAGAAACTTACTGCCTTGAAAAGTTAGTAGTCTCCAGCTGGAGGAACTTAGCTAATTTACAGTGCTCAATGAATGAGCTCTAGGTCTGGAGCAACTGTTTCCCAAAGAAAAAGGTTGGTATCAGACCATGATGGTCTGATGAGAAGGAGGTCAGGAAAGCTCCCATTCCCCTGGCTTTCCACAAACTATGAAAAACCGTGCAGATCTGTCCTCGCAGAGGAGGGAGAGCTTGTACCTGAATAAAACTTGGTCTTAAAGGTGCCACTGGACTGTTTTGGGCCGAGGGGGCGGGGGGGGCTTTGCAACTTACCTGGCTGCTTCTTGCTCTGACTGAGGGCTGCTGGGAGCAGGGGGGGCTTGTTGCATGTGCCCGCCCCCTGGGCTCTTTACTGCCGGAGCTCCGCTCCTGTGCGCTCCTGCAGGAAATGACCCCTGGCTGTTCCCATAAAGGCAAAAATCCTCACTAGGGAAAAAACTGGAAGGTTCCCCCCATGTTATTATCTCATGATGGTTCTGACTCAGCATAGCAGGTGGGAAAACAGTAAGGTTCAAAATCCAGGTAAACAGTCTGTTCTGGTTCTGCAGGAAGTGGAAGGTCACGAGCACAGCCCAAAGAAACAGAAGGAGGTTGTCTTTCGGTTACATGCCACTCGGATCCATACAAAATAGGGCAATGAGCACTGCAGGAATCGCACTGAGGATAGTCAAGGTAGAAGCTACCTGTCCGAGTGTCATAATGACAATAGAGCCAGCCAGTCATACTGTGGATCAGGGTCATGATAAGGTGAACTTGAGGGTAGATTAAAGACTGGTCACCTGGATGACTTTGGGACAGAGGATGGCCCCAAAACCATAGCTGCAGTGTTGAATTCAAGCTTCTCCCTCAGACATGTAGAGGGTGGATCCTGGGGAATGCCTAGAAGGAAACAGTATCTTTGATATCAGGATCACCTTAGAGACCAGTTCCAAGGCCAGCTGTTCAAATTACATCTTCTTGGGTTAAAGATGATGCTGGAATCAATGACTTACATCTGGAATTGCTGGCACTGGACTTTCATGTTTGTATTGGGCTTTTTTAAGTGGTGGCTCAGAGGTGCTGTGAACCAAGGCTGAAAGGGCAGTTGGGGGAGTTTGCTTGGCTGGAAACATAGCTGGATCCATAGAAGTTCACTTCATCCTCAATATGGCCAGAACGAAGGACAATCGTGCCATTCCGGGACCCCGCCCTTTCAGGTGAGGGCTCACACGCCCGTCAGAGATGACACCCAGAAGGGCTTTTTCAGAAAAGGTATATTTTAAGTAGAAGGCTCTATAATCTTTTGCTTTGGGAGTAAACTGCTTGCAAATGGGGAATTTCAAGACATCAGGATCTTCTCCAAGACATTTAAGGAAGGAGTAGTCTTCCAACTGAGGAATTTTTGCCCCACAGGTTTGTGCACTTTTATAATAGTTCTTTTAGGACACAAAAAATTGAGAAAGAATCTTTAAAATTCTTACACATAGAAAGAAGAATCTTTAAAACTTGAAATAAGATGATGAAAAGTCTCTCTCTTTCCTGACAGAGAAGAAAGAATAACAGCTTGCAAGAACGCCACCTCACTCAATGGTAGCAGAGAGAAAATTGAGGGATGGATGTTCTCACTCCACACACAGGGAAATTAGTGTGCTGAGGGGAAGGTGGGAGCACCTCTTGGGATTCTGGAATGTTCTTAAGAGCTTCTAAACTCTCAGGGCTGACCTCTGCATGTGTGGATCCCAGAAGGGATCGCACAGGTTCCACAACAATTAATGTTTTCTACCACCTGTAATGTGGTGTTTTGTAGCAGAGTTTTATGGATACCATGGACCGCCAAAAAAGACAAATAAGTGGGTTCTGGATCAATTCAAGCCTGAACTCGCCCTAGAAGCTAGAATGACTACACTGACGCTACTGTAAATTAGACAGCATAAGACATAAAATCGGTTTCTTCTGTTGTGGACTTAAGATAGCTAATTATCAGGCCATCATTATTTATGTATGAGAAGACAAGACTCGCTGGAAAAGACAGTGCTGGGAAAAGCTGAAGGCAGAAGGACTCAATAAAGGAAGCCATGTCCCTCAGTTTGCAAGACTTGAGCAAGGCTGTTAATGATAGAACTTCGGGAGTTTGTTAATTCATAGGGTTACCTAAGTCAGAAGCAATTTGACAGCACTTCGCACACACACCTCATCTCTAAACAAGAAACAGCCAGCTTTCCTCAAAATGCAGTAATGGTGCTGATCCTGTAAGATGGCCAATTTAGGGAAAGTTGGAACTGTAGAAAAGAAGGTGAGAGACCATACAGTTTTGGAGAAGCCAGCTAACAGAAAAGGTTAATCTCTAGAAATTATAATAGCCTGTGGTTTATTGGACCACATGGTTGACACAGAGAATATACAGATTATTTTGATTTACTTTTTATACCAGGGGACATTTTGTAGAAAAAGTGGTGCAGAAGCTCATTAACATAACTCGTTAGCATAACTTATTTGCATATGCCACACCCCCTGACATCACCGGAAGTGTGTCAGAAGGCAACACCCACCGCTCAGGCTCCACTGGACTGTTTTGGATTGCTAGCTATGGGGGTGGGGGGAATGTGAATGTCTGTCCTCACAGAGGAGGGAGAGCTTGTACCTGAGTAAAACTTGGTCTTAAAGGTGCCCCTGGACTGTTTGGGGCCGGGGGGTGGGCTCTGCAAATTACCTAGCTGCTTCCTGCTCTGATTGAGGGCTGCTGGGAGCAGGGGGTGGGGCTTGTTGCATGTGCCCGCCCCCTGGGCTCTTTACTGCCGGAGCCCCGCTCCTGTGCGCTCCTGCACGAAATGACCCCTGTTTATACCCCACCTTTCTTTACAATGGGGACCCCAAATGACTTATATTGTTCTTCTCTCCTCCATTTCATCCTCCCATTGGTGGTTATTTAAAGGACACACACCAGAAGTTCCACTGCAATGTTGAAGGCACCTTTGAAGGCAACACACACACCCCCAGCCACCTTCCCATAGGGAATAATGGACGCAAAAAATTCAAAAACCCCTCCGAAAACCTGAATTCAGAAACCATACTAGTATTTGGTATTCAGGAATATCAGGAATACCAATCTTTTTTGGGTCCAATACACCCAAAGCCAAAAATTACCATTTTTTCCCACACATCCCAAATCATAAACTGTAATTTAGAGATTTATACGATCTTGTCTAATCCCTCCTCCCCATTCTTTCTTGTGTAATGATTGCTTCATACATAGAATAGTTCAGAAGCCCATAATTTGCTATGACACCACAATGAAAAGCTAAGGTTAACAACCAGAGAACAAGTAACAGCATAGTTTAAAGGGAAATTCTGACAATGTTATGAAGAAATATTTCTTTTATAATGAATAATTAAGCACTTCAATTATTTTATTCTTAGGCATCAGAAAAAGGCTTTCCTGAAATCTCACCGTCTCTGTAGGACCCAAGCAGTGATAAAGAACATATGACTAAATTGTTTAGCTTTCAAGATACTTTGAGATACCACTAATTCAAAGTTCTCTGATTTTTTGTTTTTGTGAGACAGAACCTCCCTATTTAGAGGAAGCTCATTACAACTCTAAAAACATTGTAGACTAATGCTGTTTCCTTAATACTGTCTGTCAATGATCAATTTCCTCTTTATTATTTGAATAGCTTATCCCATTTTTCATACTCACTTTATCAAAATTCTGCATCTGCTCCCTGTTGGTAAACCATGATTCCTTGTCTTGACTGGGCTGAATAACAAACACTTCATAATCTGCAAACATCTGAGTGAAACGATTGGCAAAAACCTCCCGTATGTGGATGTTGAGCTGGTAATCTTTGAATTCTTCTTCATCACATTGCATTTTCAGGTCTTTTTTGCTACCAGTCTCCTCCCGGACTTCAAGCTGTAAGATATGAGAAGTCTAAATAATAGTTTTGCACTTGGGAAAAGAAAATGATAACAAAGGTAAGTATGTCAGAGACTTAGGCTACCTCAACCATGGACATTTGCTGTTCTGAAGATTGGAGGCAGAATGATATTGTGTTACCATAACGCCAGATGTAACAAAGAAAAGACAACAGTACCTCTTTGTGGTCATAAGGCCCACACATATGGCGCCTTACACAGAAGGAGCTTTGGAACACTATCAAGTTTAAGCAAAGAATTGGTCCTGAGTTCTGCTACCCCCAAGGAAATTTTGCCACAAGGGAATTCATTTCTTTTCACTCCATTCTTTTCTGACAGTAGCAAAAGCAGCAGTTATGAGAATGTTTTCCTCAGGTTTGTGTGTCCTGAAACAGATTTCTTCATTTCAGTTTTCTTTCTTCCTTGTTTTTTCTTTTTAAGTTTTAAATTTTGTATTAGGTAGTGGGGAAAGTGTTCCAGTTTCAATTTTATTCAGGTGTTCGTTCCTCCCTTCCAAAGACGGTGTACCAAAGGCACAGGAGGAGATTTGAGTGTTAATTCTTTGGTCAGAAGATTCTGAAGCTGCTTCAGAAGGCCAAGAGGCTAAGAGAAGAGCAGCAGATACTGATAGGAAGACTCTGCTCCAGGATAAATGTACTCAAAAGGCTATAGGGGTGTCTTTTGGTCTTAATTTTTCTCCAATAGCCAAACAGATTAGTCACATAATTCATAAACATTGGAATTTAGTGTCAGGAATTGAGGAATGTTCGGGGACTCCAAAAAATTGGATATAGAACAGGTAGAAACATAAGAGAAATTATCAGTAGATCTGATTTTCAGATGAAGAACAAGGTGACCCCTGTGACTTAGGGCACCATAAATGTTTTCAAAATTGTGCAGCCTGTAAATATTCTTTGGACATTAAGGCATAAGCACATCCACAGAAAGGATATACGATTCAACTGCCACATTATTCTAATTGCAGAACACACTGATCTGTGTATCTTTTGGAATGTGAATGCAAAAAGCAATACATTGGTATCTCTATGCGCATGATTAAAGTTAGAATTTTGGAACACCTTTCTCGAATCAGGAATTCCATTATGACAGCTCCTCTCGTTGAGCATTTTATGACCTGTCATGAACCAGAGAAGTTAATTTTTGTTGTTATTTACAAATATACACCACAGAAATACAATTGTCATGATATATAGACATTTCTATTGCAAAAAGAAGCAAGGTACATCTTTGCATATAGAACTTTTTCACCTTATGGTTTAAATAATGAACTTGACTTATCCTCTTTATTTGTAGCCTTTTATTTTGTGTTAAATATACTCTGTGACTTTAAATGCATTCTGTGATTTTAAATGATTCAGGCACGATTAACTTTAAGTACGTAAGATTGAAGGTCAAAGAAGACGGGGATGGCAAAGGATGAGATGGTTAGACAGTGTCATAGATGCAACGAACATGAAATTGAGCCAACTTCAGAGGACGGCGGAAGACCGAAAGGCCTGGCGTGATCTGGTCCATGGGGTCGCAAAGAGTCGGACTCGACTGTGCGACTGAACAACAACAACAACAACGTAAGCTGAGTTTGTGCATGTAATAATGCTTTGCCGTAAGGAGTGTAACGAGCCCATGTGGGAGTATGATAAGGCATGCAAAATATATAAACTGTGTGGGTAAGTCAGGTTTCAAATTGTTAATAACAAGGTTTGAAGTGTGTTTTGAATATCTGTATACAAGATGTTTTGCTTGTTTTGTTATTTGTATTAGTTCCATAAGAATATTTTGGCTCTGAAGAAGAAGTAGAATCAAAACTCTCTCGGCCAACAAGAGACGTCAGCCTGTTTTCTCAGCCTCCATGCAGACCTAAAAGTTTGGAAACTAAGAAACATCAAAGAAGATTACAGTGTTTTCAAGGACTGTATACAGCCCATTTACTGGTCTTGCTTTAGGAAGGTTTCTTTGTACTTGTGTATTTGTTTCATAGCCTTTGTGCTTCAACAAGCAATAAGTATATGTGGATCATACTAAAAGATTTACAGTTTAATCACCACGCATGATTTTCTCATTTATTATGTTTGAGACACATGCCTTTAAGTAGCAATTTAATGGTATTTGACCTTGAGCAATCCATTCTCTCCACGGTGTATTTTGTTTTTGTCACTGTACTTAGTATCTCCGTGGTCCCACTGTATTTAGTGTTAAAAACAGATACAGCAGTTAGACTGCTCCTGCTCAACATTCACAGCCAAGACATTTCTTCTTTTAAAATTTTTTATTAAAAACAAAATCAACCTGAAACATATCAGAGAGAAATACAAGGACCATGAAAAGTGGAAGTTGAGTTGAGACTATACACTGAAACAACCTTAATATTATCAGTAGAAGGAACACAAATTATAAATATTGGATGCAGTAAGAATCACCTAAAGCGAGGTACCCAGATATAAACACATTTCGTTCTCCAGGGAATGATGAAAGGTTTACCAGCTTCACAGGAAAAAACAGTCAAAGACAGAACCAAAGTCTATAATCTTTTTTCCATGCTAGGGTGCCTCTGACTTCTAAATAACCAAAGACAGAATTCCAAAGATAGCCCCCCGCTAATAGTTTGGAAATAAGTTTCCTTGTCTCTTTGGGGATTTTGATATCATTCCAAATATCAAATATAAATAACTTTGGAGAGAAAGGGTGCTTAATCCTAGTAATCTGGAAGATTGCCTTTGAGACAGTTAATCAAAAATGATGGATATTGGGGCATTTCCACCACAAGTGAATTGGAGAACCTTTTTGCTCACAAAGCTTCCAGCAATTATGCCTGGAGCCCTGATTTATTTTATGTAATCTACTAGAGAGAAGGCCCGTTGTGGTAAGGAAGACAATGTCCCTAGCGAGGCCGCGGCCCCCTTGTCTCTTCCCACACCCCACCCCACCACCGGTTGAGGCCCCGGCAGGCCAAGCCGGAAGCAGTCACCCCTTTCCCGGACCCAGTCAAGGTGGCGGCAGGCCAGGGCGCCAGGCCTCCTTCCCCCCACTCAATGCCCCGGTGGGCCAGGCAATCCAGCCTAGGGGCCCCACGCGGTCGAGATGTCGGCGGGCCAGAGCACCCTACCTCATTCGCGGCCATCCCTGGGCCCACCCGCTTGAGGCCCCAGCAGGCCAGGATGACCGGCATGGGTCGTTTTCTCAGCATGGCTCTCCCTGCCCCCAGCAGCATCAGATGCGTGAGGCTCATCGGCCTCATCGGCCCCCCTATTCGAGGCCCTGGTGGGCCAGGGCACGGCATCGTGCTTCCCGTCGGCGTGGCTCTCCACAGCCTCAGTGGCCTCGGCAGCACCAGACTCACGGGGCTCGTCGCCCCACACACACACACTGCTGGAGGCCCCAGCGGGCAAGGCCACCTTGCTTCGTCCCCTCAGCACAGCTGTCCCAACCCCCAGCGACAGTGGCAGAGTGACCATCCTCATCCCTTTTCCCCCTCAAGCGCATGGCAAGCCAGGCCAGCCGGGCTCGTCTCTTCCCTTGCCGCAGCTCTCGGCACCCCCCAGTGTCAGTGCCAGAGTCACTGGAGCGTCTGTCCTGTGTGCCTGAGGTGAAGTTGTCTTGTAAGTTGAGTTCCAGTGCCTGCTGCCTCTGTGGGTGGGACATAGCCAACCCAGCCAGTGGCCAGGGACCTGTTTGTGAGTGGCAGTCCAGGCGGCCAACTGATTTTGGTGTGAATGGGGGACCCGTTTGTGAGTGGCAGTCCAGGCAGCCAACTGATTTTGGTGTGAATCGAATCCTGCCACCCCATAGGAGAGATGCCACCCCAAATCAGCTTTATAATATAGAGAGATTGGGACAAAGATACCAGTTTGCAATTGATTTATAAAACTGTATCCTAATCGAATGAATAGTGGATTTATTCGAAGGTGAACTCCAAATAGCATCCCAATCATCTGTTGTAAGTTCTCCAGGCAGTTTTTCTCCCACATGCCAACATATGTTAGTTTAGGGTATAGGACCTCAATGAGAATTCGGTATATTTCAGACAAGAGACCTTTCATAACCCTCGAAGATTCAGTTAGAAGGGTCTTAAACTTAGTTAATGGTCTAAGGGAACCAATTTTGGTACCATAGGAAAGCATTATTGTTCTTATTTGAAAGTATTGGAACCATGGTTCTTGCTCTTGTAACTTTAAATCTACTTCTTGTTTGGTAGGAATTTTTCCTTGTCTATACCAGTTCCTAATATGGTCAAGGCCCGATTCGGACCATAACCGAAACTTATGTCCATCCTGCGGGAAACTACCCCAGGTTTAGAACACAGGCCATTGAAGAGGGCTCCAGTGATAATTTCCGTTTTAATCTGTCCCAAATTGATAGTGTTTTCTAAAATAGTGCTTGAAGCTACCGTGTGAAAACGTATTTTAGGAGGTGACCAGATTGTGCCTCAAAGAGGTATAGGGTCACAATAAGCTTCCCCAATACTAACCCATGGTTCAGATGCTTGAATTTTTAACATTTGGATTAGTTGTGACAAAAACAATGCCCAGTAATAAAGCTTCAGGTTGGGCAGATGGATACCCCCTTGATGCCTGGGGGCGTGCACAAAGAGTCAAAAATGCTATTTGCTCTATGTCTCTCCCCCCCCCCAATAAACTGGTTTAATAATTTTTGCCATTGATGCAACGTCTTATCAGGGATGGAAAAAGGGATAGGCCTAAAAAAATACAGAAATTTAGACAATTTAGACAAAATAAAAATTTTAACTGTCAATAGCTGTTCTTGCCATGATAAAATTCTGTCATTTGAAGTCTCTAGATGATGTTGTTTCCGCTAAAAGATTTCCTAGGTTACTATCTATTATGGATGACAAATCTAATAGGACTTTAATCCTGAGATAACACCAGTTATCTTTAACTCAGTTACCTTTAACCCGTGCAAATTCATAGCACATTTGTATATTAAATTCGATATATTGAATTAGAAAAATAGGGTATATAGGGTCTTCGATAAATTAATATTTAATCCAGAGATCATGCCAAAATCTTTAAGCATAGCTAAAATTTCAGGAAGTTTCACCTGGAGATGAAATATACAAGACAATATCGGCGAAAAGTGATATCTTGTGCTCATGATTTCTCAACACCCTCCATCTGCTCCCCCGCTGAAAATTTTCTGGCTATGGGGCTGCTACCTGGGATCTACAAAACCTGCTGACTGCTATGTACATCAGGTAGACTGCTGAGGTTTTTTTCCCCTAGCAAACTGTGATTTATACAAAGCACAGCTGATTGTGATATATGCGGCCATTACCACTGGAGCAGACAAATCTTCTGCCATACTTCATCGGCTTAAGTAACTGCTCGCAAGAAAACCAAGATTAGAACCAAACAGTAATACCAAATAAGAGTTAAAATCCCAGATCAGTCTAGTATTGTAATTTACCCATTTGCAATTAAACTCCCGTAAGTATTATGTAACCTACCTTTTCGAGGCTCACACCTGTTCTTTTCACAAGTGCTTGGAGCCTTGCTATGGTCTCATTTTCTTTCAACAGTTTATAAGAATTGATTGGTGACCCTGCTATGTTCCCATTTCTTTTATCAGAGACTATGTCACATGTCCTGAGGCTTTTCATCTTGGAGGCACTTTCACTACTCTGCCAACCTAGCAGTTCGAAAGCAAGAAATTGCAAGTAGATAAATAGGGACCACTTCGGTGGGAAGGTAACAGCGTTCCATGCACCTTGGTGTTTAGTCATGCTGGCCACATGACCACGGAAACGTCTTCGGACAGCGCTGGCTCTTTGGCTTTGAAACGGAGATGAGCACCGCAACCCTAGAGTCGGATTCGACTGGCTTTCGAGCAAGGGAACCTTTACCTTTACCTAATACATTAACATGGACAGTGTACATGATTGGTATGATGAAAGAAGATTGACAACTCACTGAAGAAGCCAAAGAAGATTTTTTTTCAATACTACTAACAGATTAACATACTAATGAAAACATCACTCAATCTTTTCTTGATCCCACTATATACCCTCCCTCCTTTCTATATGAAAAGCAATAAAATTCTCTCCTTTTTAGGAGAGTTTATATATATATATATAAAAACTTTATTGCAATTCTTGTTCAGCAAGAAAACCAAACCTTCATGGTTCTATACAAACAAGGCCGTAGCCAGCACCATAGCAAGGGAATTTGGGGGGAGAGGGCTTGGGGGGGGGGCGCCCAGCTAATCAAAACAA